CATATTTTGATGATGGCCAACTTTGCTCCTCGTGGCAGTTAGTCTAACAGCAAACAAGCACCTGAATGATTTAAAAAATTTCAATATATATTTTTTTATTAATTGAATATTTGATGTGTTCATACATGTATATAATGCATTTTACCTCACCCCTTCCTTATGTCCCTCCTGCTCCTGCTCCCCACAATCCCTTTCCACATTCATGTCTTTCTGTTTTGGACCCACCGAGTTGAATCAGGACCATATGTGTGAGCATGTGTTTGGAAATGTCCAGGGGAACCTGGTGGGCCACCAGTGGGTACAGAAGTAAAGACAGTGTCTCCCCTTTCCCAGAATCTTCCAGTAGACAGTGGCTTTAATCATATCACTTCTTTTACCTAACAGTTATCAATAGACATGTAGATCCTTCCAGAAAGATCTAGAGAGCAACGTGTACTTGATAAAGTGTCTTAGTCACCTGTGTCATAAGAATTACACCCAGGTTGTTACTCACATGTCACCACCACTGTCTGTGACTGAAAATAACCACTCTACACTCTACGAGCTATTGTAGCAAACCACTGGATTCCAAAGAAGTGTCATGTCTCTTTGTGTGGAAGAGCATAATTTTTTTTCATAATTTGAGTTTAGTTGAGGCTGTTTAATATAGCACATGGTAGACAGCATAAAATAATTAAGATAGTCACAAAAACCTATTAGAAATAAAAGTATCATAAGATTATTTTCAGGTGACTATTACTTTTCTGAGAGTACATATTTTTTAAAGTATAATTTGGGAATATAAAGTTCTTGTCCTAAAATAGTTTAAAATTTATTTAATTTTGGATAGAAATTCTTAATTGCTATAAATTAAATGCTTAATTAATCCAAGACATGTTGAAATTATGATAAACCTGTTTTAATACCATCATTAATGTATTAAAAGTAAAAAGTGATGAATCCCTGTATTATTACGTCATTTGCTTCCTCCCAGTTGTCTCTCAAATATCAAGGCCTTTCTCTCCTTTTCCAGAATATATAGGAGATTGCACAAGATTTTAGTAGACAGTATATAAAATATGATAGTGCTATTGATTATTGAAAGCTTTTACTTGGGATTTTCAGTTTACTAATGCCTGAGTCACCGCTTGTTTTACAAAGATCAGCATGTCCTGCCCTAGGGGAGACTCAGATCTCATAAACATTCTGTGATTCTTTTGCATCTGGTAAATATTTTTATTTTTCATGTATTTTTACCAGATGAAGAGATCTGGAATGAGCTGGCGGGCCCTGTGAGACACTCAGACTTGTGAGGTTGTCTTGGCAACATGGTGAACATGGTTGGAAAGTCTTCCTTTGGAACCGCGTTACCTGTGGGTGACGTAGCTGGAGAGTTGCCAGGTAAACCTGGGCAGCTTGGTCCCCGAGGGCTGCTGAGGTTTATGAGACTGTTGCAGGGAATGGAGGAAGTCATGTGTTCTCACGAGGTCTGACCTGCTGTTTTACAACTCCAAGCTTGCTTTAAGAAATTGTTAAGTAATATTCATGAAAATTATCCTCCTGACTTATCACCACATGGCACTGTTTTCTCTTTGGAAGACGAAGCTGGCCTTGCAGGGACTGGAGAACGAGGGCCACTTCACAGTCTTGTCTGTCCTCAAAAGTTTCTGTCCTGGAACCTGAGGGAGCGTGTGAACATGGCTTTTCCTGATGAGGAATCAGAGGGCCTCTGCTGCTCTTCCAGGCCAGCAACCTACTTCCCTCTAGCTGTGGGAGGAAGCTTGGCCAATGGAGGAGGAGCTCTGTGGCTCCCTCCCAGTCCAACCCCAGTGAGGAGCCCTGGGAGACAGATGAACCGAGGAGCGCCAGGACTCTTCAATATTTCTGACTTATGAACCGAGGAGCTGTCCATTCACTTGACCAGTGTTAGGGAAAACAAAACACAGACAACAACAACAAACAAAGCATCAAAGAGAGGAGATGCCAACTGCACTCAGGGAGACTGACCCCCAGCAGCTAGAGATGGACCCCAGGAGGTGAGAACTCACACTTCACAAAAACTCGGCTACCCAGTGCTTTGTGTGTTTGGTGACTGTTCCTCTTCTGCCTCCCATTTGCTTTGGAGTCCTGGTACTTACATTTTGTGGACGTTCTTCTGCCTTGGGCCAGAGGTCATGTGATACAGATCCCGGTCCCACAGCAGCTTTACCACCGCGCTTGCTCAAATCCTGCCTGTCTAGCCTTCCGTTCTCTCTGCTACACTTTTCTAATTGTTTATACAGAGGAATCTTCTCCTTTTATTGATCAAATAATCATATGCAGGCAGAAATTGCTTACTGTAAAATATGCCAATTCTAGGGATTTCGTTTTCTGAGTCTAAATAGCAGAGATGAGGTAGGTCTTTAGGCATACATGTTACTTTCATATTTTGTTATTTTTCATTTTATAGCAGATCTAATCTATTACACTAATGCTATCCAGTTATTGGCTCGATTGACTCTTTAGAACACAATCCATTTCCATCCCTGTAGTCTCGAAGACCAGCTTTCTACTTTCTTACATACTTGAAATTTCTGTTTCAGCATCAGGTAACTTTGGATTTTAATTTTTTGGAAATCGAGTGTTTCAGACTCTAGACCTCAGGGATTTTTGAAACTTGGGGACTTCCACATTTAAGATCACAACATTCATGTCTTTTGAGGTCATGGCTAGACCCACAAGCAACTTGGATTCAGAGGCACATGTAGCCTCTGTGGACTGCAAAATCATGGAACTCAGACAGCCTTTTATAACCTGCCCAAGGCTGTTCTTGGTTTTCTAAGGAAAATTCATCATAGAAAATATTCCTGACCAAATTTATACTCTGCTATGCTCATGTTTGGTATTGGTTTTAGTGAGAACATTATAGTTGAAATAGAAATAACATGATGTTTTAAAGCCTATTAGTGTAGTTATTTAGTTACCCTGTAGAGGGACGTGCATGGGCCAGGGTCATGTGGGGAAGCCAGAGAACCGTTGGCTGGACTTAGTTCTCTCCCACCACCATGTGGGTTCTGAGGATAAAATTCAGGTTCTCAGGCTTGGTGGCAAGTGTTTTTAACCCACTGAGCTATCTTGCCAGTCCTGGTTAAGTTCTAAGTAATTGATATTCACACACATAAATTTTCTCATTGTTTGTTATTACGATTCTGTCAGGTTCAAATAAACTACATTACACTTTAAATAAAACCCATCTTCTGCAACAAAAAATTACATTTAATGATATTTTAATAGGTTTTCTTATTTTATGACACTGAATTTATCATATTATATATGCGTGTTAGAATTATATTTCTTAAGAAATATGTTCAAAGTTTCCGTTGTGCTAAAACAGCTTTATGGAGAGAATCATGTAAATATAATTTTAACTGCAGAAGAAATGGAGACCCATAAACTTGCTGGTTGGACACCTCAGCCATTTTAGAAAAACCAAAGCCAGTATGAGAAATTCACCTGCCTGGAACAGAGAGACACTTGTACCCAGGTAAAGAGTTTTGGAATACTATGTCACTTCTAGATGGCTGTTCTTGGTGAGGAAATATTTATTCTTTAGATGGAAGCAAAGTACTCTACTAAAGATGGTAGGAAACGTTGATCCTGTGGTGGTTTGAATGAGCATGTCCCCCATAGGCCCCAAGTTCTGAACACCTTGTTCCCAGTGGTCGGCACTGTTTTCAGAGCTTAGGAGGTGTGGCCTTGCTGCAGGAAGTCATCACTGGAGGTGGGCACTGAGAGTTCATTGCTACATCCCATTTTTAGCTTTCCTCTCCCTGCCCTGATGAACTCTCATCCCTCAGGGACTGTGAGCCCAATAAACTCCTCCTTCTGTAAGTTGCCTTGGTCATGAAGTTTTATCAGAGTAACAGAAAAATAACTAGTACACGTCCCATGACCACGTTGTCCTGCGTGTTTCGCCCACTCAGTGCTGTTCAAATCTTATATGTATCTACGCTTTGTTGACGCTTGAACTGCTCACCAACATTCCTCAAGAGATGCAATGTGGCCCCCACATGCTTCCCACATTTATTGAGGAAGGGCTAGTCTCCTTTCCCCCAGTCATTCAGTACTTAGAAGGTAGACACAGTGATGGTTGTTCTATGGTATTTACATTCTTGCAAGTTATATTACATAACAAAGATCACTCTTCAAGTATATTTACAGTAGAGAATCACTCACACTGAGGGTTTGATTTACGACCTTGACCATAGTGGGCACTGGTAAGCTTGGAGAGAACTACACAGAAAATGGTGTTGACCTGTACCTGGACATGGAGCAGAGCTGCTGAGAGTCAGAGGGAGTCGCAGGTGAGGCTTGCAGATCATCTCAGATTGGCAGGGTTTGCAGACAATCGTGGACTGTTAGTGGGATGTAACCGGGCGAGGGGCAGCAGACAGCATGCCTGACAGAGTTTTGATGAGTAGAGGCGAGATTATGGATGAACAGAAGGTGGGAAGATGGGGAGTTTTCCTGTATGCAAGGGAGCACATCGACACGGACTATAGACCTCAGGTGGGGTTTTTCAAGGTCTAGATGGAAAAATGGAATTATTCCTCTCAAGCCTGGCTCCCTGGACTCCTTGGTTAGACAAGGAAGCAAAGCCTGGCATCCAGGAGCAGCTCCCTACCCAAGCTCCTGGTTCCCGAGTGTCATGGGGGAGGGTTCACTAACTGGCAGTGTCTGTGGTGAGACAAGACGAGGATGCGGAATAGATAGAGCTGTTAGAGGGCAACGTTGCATCTGTGGGGGAGTGTGCTTGTGCACATATTAAGGAAGGGAGGGAGGCAATCCAATTGATCACGTTTCTCGGTTTAGATGGAATTGTTGTTTAAAAAAAAGGTTTTATTTTACTTTAAAGAATTGGTCATTTTAATTTTATTGAAAACTTACAGTCCTGTTTAAAATGGAAACATGCTTTTCTTATGCTCTCTGTGATAACTTTCAAAGTGCTATATTGATGAGTTAAGTAGAAATTACGTATGCAGACAGATACTCAGCAGCCACAGATTTGCCTGTGACCCTTGAGCAGGGGGCATGTTAATCTCTGTATTGTTTTAACTTTAGTACATGTGCTAGCGAAGTTAGCACAGGATTTATTTTTAAGGTAAGGAAGTGGAGGTAAGTGGTCCGTACTCCATCATAGCCAGGTCCTAGGACAGTTGGCCCATCTGTAACTCCAGAGTTCTTGGATCTGGCATCCTCTTCTCACAGTGCATGCATGTGATGCACTTAACATGCATCCGGGCAAAATGCTCAAACATGTAAAAATAAAAATAAATTGACTTAAACCTGCTCACAGCAATAATGTCACTAACTGCTCTATGGATCCCTGGTGAGCTGCCTTTGGCCTCACTGTGTTATACTTACTGACTGAGCCTGGCCCTCATTGATTTGTCTATGGACATCTGCCCTGAGGAAACCAGACAGTGTCTGCTTCACCACCTCCAGAGAAGCAAGGGCACCCCAGGCGATGGCTGCCGATTTCCTTCTTTATTTTATTACTACACACGTGTACTTATTATTTTTATTTCCGTGTGTGTGGGTATATGTGCATGTGAGTACAGTGCCCACCATGGACACCGGAAGAAGGTATCAGATCTCCTGAAGCTAGAGTTACAGGCCGTTGTGAGATATCAACATGGGTGCTGGGAACAGAGTTCAAGTCCTCTAAAGAGCAACAGGGCTCTTAACCACTGAGCATCCCTCCAGGCCAGGCTTTTCCTTCACTAAATTCAGCTGGATTAACAACTATGAAGTTGTTACACTTGCCACTTTTACTAATCCCTAAATAACCAGAAAAATGCGGCAGTGTAAAGACTCTTTAGAGTTTGAGGGACAAGGGCACTGATTCCCAGTGCCCTCCCACTCGGGCTTTCCAGAGAGCACATGGAACTAAGGTCACACATGTACTAAGGGTCTTCTCTGAATGCCCTCTTAACTCTCAGGATGAGCAAAACTACATTTCTGTTGTTTTTAACTCTGCAGTTCCCAGAGCTGAATTTGTGCTCTGTCACTGTTAATACCGTGATGTTTGTGGAATGACGTATCATAATGCTGGGACACTGGGTTTATTGATTTTTCTCTAAAGGAAGCGTAGTGTTGCACTGACACTTTCGGGGTGGAAATCAAAGGCAGCTCTTACCTCCACAGAGCTCACTTTTTCTTTGTGAAGACAGAGATAACAACAGAAGAAAAGGCGAGACCCTCAGGAGCGTGTTGTGTGGGTAGAAGAATATCTAAGGGAGGACATGCTTAACCCTGCATGCTGCGGGCCCTCTCTGGTTTCGTGGGCTTCCTTGGTTAGGTGAGGTTTTTAGACCACAATAAGATAGATCTATTCTCTCTAAAGATTTCCAGAGTCACTGTCCCTCTATTTCCTTTAATACATAAATAGAATTGACTCTGAGTCAGAGACCTTGAAGAGAAGGTATGTGGGTGATAAACAATGAAACCTCCATGTCCTAGAGGCAGGCTGCAATTTCCAGAAGATGGGAATCTTTGGGGCTTTGAGATCGTGGTTCCCGTTCTGAGAAATCTGTACCTAGATTGCCCTTGGCTTTCCTATAACTAGCAAACTCTAGTCTAGCTGCCTGTGTTACCTGCCATGGCCCTGGACTGGAAGTGGCATCCACATGCACACATATCAATGTGTTTTATCTTGAATATAGAGAAAGTCCACAGTGTGTTATGAACTGAGAGCCGCATGGTCTATGGATGCTGTGGGGCATAGCCTCCTTGAACATCCTGGCTGATCATGAGCCGGATCCTATTAAAGCTCCTGCTCGCAGGATGGCGATTTGCTTGGTAGGAAATGCTTCCTGCCTCAGGTAGCAAACCCGCCTCCTGCATTTGAATCTGAGTCTTAACCCATGTGGTTCTTGCAGTGAAATACTGTGTAGTGTCTTAACCCATGTGGTTCTTGCAGTGAAATACTGTGTAGTGTGATTTACAAAGGACAACAGGACTCTCATTTAAGATGGTGATGGTACACCACACTGTTGGTGACCCTCCTGTGATCCTCATGGTGACCCTCAGCTCACCCCATGTCTCTGCCAGGACACTGTCTCTGAGCCCAAGCTCTGGAAATCCTTGGCCCAGATCAACACACCCCATTCTTCTTTCTCTCTATGTCACCCTGACTGTCCCCTCCCCTTAGCTCAGACATTAGTTCCGGAGTATTTTTATCTCAGGAATCTCTCAAAGTCCAAGTTCCCAGCTCAACCGCAAAACTTAAGGACAATGTCAGTTTGGCCACAGATGGGATCCGCAGTTGTGCTGGCCTCTGTGTGGCGGCTAGTGCTCTCTTCGTCTCCCATGCATTCAGTTTGTCTGCATTTGTCTGTTTCCTGTGATTAAGAACTATGCATCTCTATGCCTGCCGTTCAGCAGCTGCTCCCACGAGCCCTTGACTGCCACTGTGAGCTGTAGCTTCCCTCTGGGGTCCCCGAACTGAGATTTTTAGGGAATACAGGGAGGGAAGGAAGAGAGCAGCTGGGACAATGACCGTGTTGGTGACAACAGCCTGCTGTGAGGGGTCCTGTGTGAGTCCCAGCTCTCGGGAGTCCACGACTAGGCCTGAGGGGCAGGGAGCCCTGAACAAGAAGACACCTACAGTGTATTCCAAGTAAACTCAATCTGGGGCTCAGGGAAGAGGCACAGAGTGACGTTCATGTTTTCTACCAAGATATGGTATGAAAATACTGGCCGACTTTAAGCCTCTTGGACTTTGTCTGTGGCACTTAGATTTGAACAAAGATTCAAAGGTCTCAAGTTTAGAATTTCAATCCACTGCATCGCAATAGAGAGCACATGGAACTTAATGAAATCAGATTAAAAATATAGTGTATTGAAGCAGGCAGGAGACCTTCCTTCACTCCCCTAGGGCTGCTGTGACAAGGTAAGATGGACGGGGAAAGTCAGTAATTTCTGCTTTTGCTGCTCGAAGAGGTGTGCCTAGTTCTCTAGATAACATAACAAATGTTATTTGCACAACAGAACCCTTCGCGCAGAACATAAGGTCAGAGAGGAGGGGAAATCAAAATAACCTCCAGAGGCAGAGAATTCCATCAGTTATAAAACTGTGAAGGAAGCTATCAAGATGGGTACAGTTACTAAACATTGTGCAATAGGCGGCTGCTGTGGTAATAGTGGTCCATCCGGGGAGATGGCCGGCGACTTTGAAATAGCAAGCTGTGGGAGAGGTTATCAGGGGAGAAAATTAAAGTCAGGCTTACTGCCCAGGCTCAGGCACACCATCCATTCATTCTGCTGACATGTTTGGTTGCGGTTTAAGTTCTGCTTTGCAGTACATCACTTGGAGTTTGTTGCTGATTTGCGGTTTCTTTTGCAAGCATTTCCTTATCCAGTGGCTCCCTGCACTTGAACTTGATATGTCCCAAATATTTTATGCTGTCCTAAAGATGGAAAAAGTCATGAAAATATTCACATACTATTTCAAAGGTACATATTTCAAAGCTTCATATAACAACCATTGCAAGATTTCAGAGTCCTTGGAGAGAAGGCTGTGATGTTATGACTCTACAACTAGTTTAAGGAACAAAACATATATCCAGTCAAGGTTTATCTGAGAATATTTGACTTTTTACCCAAGCCTTATCTACATAGCACATGATAATTAAAAGCACCAGACTGGGGGAACTAACTTTATTGGATGTTTAACAGCAATAGTTTGAGGCCTATACTAATGTGGTCAGAGAGACTTAAAGGACAGTTTTTGCCCCTTGCCCTCCAAGATTGATGAAGTGCCAGGGGACTATGGAACATCTCCCCAAATGTCCTGTAACTGTGGTGAGTCACCTGTCGTCTTGTTCAGGGAGGACATGGAGACCCCACGAGATGGACTTGAACCAGATAAACTTACTAGATGTTTAACAGCCATACTTTGAGACCTATGCTAATGTGGTCAGAGGGACTTAAAGGACAGCTTTTGCCCCTTGCCCTCCTAGGTTGATTAAGTTTCAAGGGACTATGGAACATCTCTCAAAATGTCCTGTAACTGTGGTGAGTCACCTGTCCTCTTATTCAGGGATGCCATGGAGACCCCACAAGATGGACTTGAACCAGTGTCCAGTCTACAAAGAGGAGGGTCAACTCAGAGGAAACATCTCATTCCAAGTGAAGCCAGACATGGTCGAACAGGACCTTTGACTTATCTTCACAAAAATGGAACTGGTAAAAGAAAGGAGCCAGGAGCCCCTCCCAAGCCCATGTGACCCATGAGGAACAGATCCCTTCAAATCTCGGTCTCCAATACTGTAGTGCCCACCTGTAGCTAATGGAGACAACCAGCTATTGTTCTAAAATGATAGATAAATTTGTTTTCTCCCCTTATCTAGAAGCCTTTGATAGGGAACTGACACTGATTCTAACCATCCAACAGCTATCAAAATACCTGAAAGTAAATCCTGAATCCATCCCTCTAGAATCCAGCCTTCGAAGACAAAAGAAAAATGAGGAAGAACCCAACAGAGGGATGCTTTTGGAAGCCCTTTCCAAGAAATTCCAATGGACTTTCATATGAGCGTCTGAAAATTGTCCTGTTCTGACTTTTTTCTAGTTCCCTGTCTCAAACTTGTAATGCTAATTACTCTTGCCTTTACTTCTTCACATCTCCTATTCATGATTCAAGGACTTTCTTTTCCCCTTAGAGACAAGAGTTATGGGAGTCTTTTAGATAGACCCACTGAAGGGGTACTCCAATTGCCTCACCCTGCATCCCTGTTCAGCATGGAAGAAGCCAGAGTGGTCTTTGTCCCTATTCTCTACTGGCAATTTGGGTAACCCCTTCAGAGGATGGTGTGGTAAGAGTAGGAGATAGGAATTGACCAGGCAGTTAGGGTAAAAAGACCGCAAACAAAAGTAGCATGTTTCTTGGCTAATAGTCAAAATGTCCTTGAGACTGTTAGCAACATACTCTGTTCCAAAGGCCAAAAATGTCAAAAGTATTTGGGAGCTTGTATCTAATCCTTAAAAGATTTTAGTGTTACCTCTTCAGAGGCGGGGAAGTTTAAGTAGCAAAAAGCCCCATAAAAATAAATAAATCAAAGAAGACAGAGTACAACAAGTTA